CCAGCAGCTGAAACGGATTCCGCTTAGAGTCACTGTTTTGATGCCCGGCAATTATTCTTCCAAAAGCGGATTTCAGGTTTTGCTGTTTTTTTTTTTTTTATTCCTGCATTGCTCTCGAGGCACACACCTCTCTCCACCTAGCCAGGACGTACACATCTCTGAAAATATCTTATTTTGGGACCAATTTGTATTCATGCTATTTACTATCTCTCTAAGATGGCTTCAGTCTGAATTGTCCTCGAATTTTAGTGAGGGGAAAGTGTTAGGTGAGTGTTATAATTTGGAAAAGATATGTTTATGAAAGGAAGCAGTATTTCAAGTGCCAATTAGGGTCTTCAGCTCCTCTCAGAGAGAACTGCAAGTCTTCTCCCCTCTTCATCTTTTCATTTCCTACTTTATTCCTTTTGATCTCTTATTTTTAAACTTCTCTTTGCATTTTTAAATCCATGCAGCCCTTTTCAAAAGTACTGTGGCAAGTTATTAGAAAAACCATGAAATTATTTATATGCTTTGACCCAGAGATCATACCACTGGAAAATAATTTAAGAGAAATCACACCCAAATGTACCAAGATATTCCTTATAGCACTAAACTTGATTTAAAAGCTAGATAAAAACCACCAAGTAGCAAGAAACTGGTAAGTTATGACACATCAACATAACAACAATGAAATTTATAGTTATGAGTCATCTAGGAGAAACTGGGTATAAGTCCCATCTAAATTCTACTGAACAGACATGTAGTCCTGGGTAAGGTACATAACCTATGGAAGCCACAGTCTCCTCATTTGAGTACACAAATAATACTTATATCAATAACATGAAAATTAAATAAGTTTATATATATATGAAGTACTTAGTACAGTTCTTGGAGTATCATAGCTAGTCACCATATTATGTACAGTTCTTGGAGTATCATAGCTACTCACTATATTATAACATCTTTGTTATTTATTTTTAAATACAAAATTAGAAATCTGTATGATTATGATTGTGAAACATGCAAGAATTGGTAGATTAATAGGAAATTATAGGAATAATTTCTTACACTATGAAAGGAGCTCACAAAACAGATAAACATGAACTATATAGAGTTGTAATAAGGTTTTTGTTTAAAAGAAGATACTTAAACTATTCTTTCTTACATTTTAAATAGCTGAATGATTTGGAAGTCCTTAAGGCCTCCAGTGGATGCCATAGGGAGTTTTATCTTCTTTATGTTGTACAAACTCGCAAATGCTTATGAAAATAAGCAACACAACATTAAAACAAACAAACAAAAATCTTTTTACCTGCATTTCAGCAGCATCCAGAGGCGTCTAATCAGAAGGGGAAAACAGCACAGGCTCACAATAGGTGGCCCAATGAGGCCCTTTTTATGGTGACAAAGAAAACTGTTCCCTACAGATCAAAGCCCATATAAACACAGAAAAGGCTATTTTAAAACATTCACAATCTATGCCAGTAGTCAGCTTGCTAGAGACACTGGCTGAAATGACTTGTACCCATCATATACTTACTTCTACAGATGGAGAAGTATGTATTTGACTTTTTGGAAAGGTTGGGAACTAAAAATACTCTCCATATATATTTATATATATAAAACACAGAAAGAGGGACAAAAAAGTGGCAGCTGATTATTTCTTTTTCTGTGACAAAATGTGACTTACAACGTGGCAGTGGAAAAGAGCAGAGCTGAAAATGAATCAATTTATAAAAGCCATAGTATAAAACAGTGCCACAGAATATCATGTAAATTAGAATTTAATAAAAGTGCCAGGTATCTTGAAATATCAGTCATGTAATTTTGGCACCTTACTGAGAAAACCACGGAATCAATGTGGTGGTGGTTTTATCACAGATGTTGCTGCTACGTAAGTAGTTACCTTGAGGCCCTAGTCTAGAGAAACAAAACAATATTCTCTATTGAAGTGCAGCGATACAGGGGGAATTGCCTTGTGATAAAGAAAAGAATGACTTTATACAGACCCCTGTCATCGATAATGACAATTCCTTGAGTGGATTATATTCAAGAGGCTTTGCAAACAAACAAACACACACACACAAACAAAAGATTAAAAATACCACCTGGACTAAAAGTTTCTCTTTCAGATCAAACCTAGTTAAGTTGGAGTTGTGTTCTGAGATCATACTGAAGGCAGGCGCTATCACGGTTTCTGCTTCTCCAGAATCTTCTGCAGATTGTAACCTGGACTTCTTTTCCCACTCATTGTTATTGGTTTTATTTTTTCCAATGTCTGTCTAAGTTGAATCCACTCCTCAGGTGCCATTGCAAATTTATTGTAAATCTTTTGTTTTTTCGGTTACTCATCCAGCTGAGGATATAATTCCCAGTTTTTTCCCTCTAGTGCCACAGATCCCCGCTGTGTTAATAAGTATGCTGCTCCTCATCTCTTGTCTGATTTCTCTCCACTAGGAATCAGAAATTAGACAGGATTGCAAATGATAAGTCTGACCTCTAAGGAGAGTTAAAGGAGGAATATTGCTCTATAACTGAGTTTTTTAACTATTAGTAATTTCTAAGAGTCAGTGACATTACTTTAGCAATATTTGTAATTTTTTTTTTTTTTTAGATAAGATTATACGTCTATCATAGGTTGATTTTTTGTTTTTCTTTGAAATCCAAACTGTGACTAAGTGAAATGTAACCATTTAAAATTACATGATCTTGACTTTAGATCAGTCTTTTTTGGATAAAGCCATTTTTAAGGGCTCATTTTTTCCAGTCAATTCCTTTTTAAATGCTAAGGTTCAGACTTTACAGGAGTTGTAGAAAATTTTCATTGAAAGGTACCATATAGGTCAGTGTGTGTTCTCTTAAATACACTCCCAGAGATATAGAGGTTCAGGTGCCATACACAGGCAGGTTCCTGGGAGCCTGAATTGGATAATTCTGTCTTTAAAGCATGGCATAGAGAGTGCAAAGACATTGCTCAGAGATGACACTGAAAATTAAGTAGTCAAACTAAAAGAAAAAAAGAAAATGTTCAGCAGACAGATACAAGCTAGGTATAAGGGAACTGAAGAGACAGGATGCTAAGACAGAGTAAGTAAGTTTGAATGAGAGTGAAAGTTGGAATCCAGTGGAATACCCTAAAATGCTGTGGCAGAATCACAGGGACTTTTTATAGAGCATGCTTGACCTTGCTCCTGAATGGAGAATTCTTAAGAATCTTGAGCCAATTTAAATGTATCATAGAATTGTACCCTTGAAACTCATATAATTTTATTAACCACTGTCACCTCAAGAAATTTAATTAAAAATAAATAAGTAGGCACTACTATAGATTCAATACTTAAAGTCTCTTTATAGAATTCATGTTGGATTAGCCATCCAAACTATGTGTGAAAAATTACAGAGGCAACCACTTATTTTCAAAGGATGTTGATTTTGGTTTTGGAAAGCTCTGTGTATTGGATAGCTTCTCCTTTCATTGAACTCCTATACCTTCTACCCATTGGTTCTAGTCTTTTATGCTATATATAGCTATAATACAAGTGTAATATCAATTGGACTATTTTTAGAAATTCAGATGGACCCAGCTGAATTCAAATAGCAGGATTATCTAGACATCATTATGTAGGTTTAAGACCAAGAAAAATAGAAATGTTATTTAGCTACAGTTGAAGATAAGCTGATAGTCACATAATTGTTCTCAACCTTGAAATGTCTTTTAGCATTTTTTACATTCTCTAATTAAATAAAATTCTTCTTAAGTGATAGAAAAGCCCTTAATAGGATTATTATTGTAGCCATTAGTGGTGAAACGTCACCAGACCTTGGTTCAGTAACCTTGGCACTTGAGTTCCGTTCCGGCTAAGAAAGAATTCAGAGCCAAGACTCAAATACCAGCAAAAGTTTCTTTAGAAAGTCACAGAGGTAGAAGTGAGCCATGGAAGAAGTGAGCCAGCTGGGCTGCATGGGCTCAGGAAACAGATTAGAGAGGCAAAAGAAGGGCCCTTGGAGCTTAGGAGAAAGAGAGTAAAGGTACTCACTTGGAAGAGGAAGGGGGAAGGCACAGGAGTGTTCAAGAGAGAGCAAGAGTGAGCACAGGGTCCTCATCCTCAGGGCTTTTACCTTCTCTCTAGAGGCGGGGATCTCAGGGGAAGCCCCAGAAGAGGACCTCAATGGAATATTCATCAGCTTTGCAGGTGTGTCTTTCAGGATCATGCTCTCTGTTGATTGGCCGGCACTGAGGTAGGGGGTCATTAGTAATTGCATTCGGTCCTGATATCAGCCATGGCTTCCTCTGATTTTGCTCCTTTTTTTTTGGGCCTGGAGCTAAAACACAACTGAGGCCCAAGTTATATCTAGTTTGTCTAAAACTCTGTCTCTGTGGTCAATAGAGCCAAAGCTTTGTTCTTAAGATTATTTGATGCAGGTCAGAACCTCAGTGTCCTGAGGATTTAGTGCTTAAGGGAGTGGGAGTGCAAGGGCTTGTATGGAATTCAGGTGAGGCTATTCTTTGGGCCCCTTGTTCCTCCTCTAACGAGTCTACTACATGACTAGCCACATGCTAGGGGAGGATCTGAACCACATGACCAGCGATATGAAAGATCAGGGTCTAAACTGCATGACCAGCGATATGCCTGGGGAGGAAAGGCCACCCTGGGGGACAGGTTTTGTTTTTCCAGTTTTGCTCATTGTCAGATACCTGGAGCTTTCTGCCTTGGTGACCTTCTGTACCTGGACTATCGTTCCTACTCGGTTCATGCCTGTTTACTGCCTCCTGCACTGCCAACATATTTAACGAGCACATCTTGAGACAGGTACTTAGCCAGATCTGTTAGAGGGGCCAGGCCCTTGTTTTCAGTGACCTTCAAAAGTATAGTCAGGACTGTGGCAGGAAAGAGTTGAAAGTTGTTTTATATTTGATATTTATAACACATTTTGGAGCAGGACTGTAAAATGTAAGGGAAACATTATGCTTTCTGGGAAAAATAAAAATGGATTTCTCAAGCTTGGAGGACTTGGGCTTAATTTGTTATTGTTTTATTAAAATAAAAGAAAGGCAATTAAAAAACCTTTATTAAACAACAAGAAGGAAATAATTAAAATGATTCCCATATTTTATAAGTTTATCCAGATACAACTAACAGTTACTAATTACCAAACAGCATTCTTTCCTTAAAAATGTGAGCTTGAGGAAGACCATCAAAGGGATAATCAAGGCGAGCACAGGTGTGTTCTGCCTGAGATAGAAGAGGGGTACACTTTGTATTAGATTACAATTCTGATAATGGTCTTCACGGACAAATACTAGGGATTTCTGTTGGGACCTCCCCTGGGGACTTGAACGCCATTTGAGTCAGAGTGAAGTCAGGCTTTTGGCCCTACTGTATTGTCCAAGCCTTTTATAAATTACTCTGATACAACATGCTGTGGTAATCCTCCTTTTCCATGAGGAGTGGCTGCTGTTCTTCGGACAGCTGCTTTCTCTTCCGACGACGACATACCAGGCCAGTGAGCCCTCCCAGCACGGCAGTGAGAACAGACCCCACTACAGCTGCCCCAATGAGCCACGGCCAGATCCGACTTGCTTGTTCTAAATAGGGCTTAATGTAATCTCGAAAAAAGTCTGGATCTGAAAAAGACAAACCAGTGTTTTTACTATTGTTGTGGTCATCATCGTTGCCATCTTCATCATCATCACCATCATCATCCTTGCATAATATTTTGGAGTCAGATGCTTGGGTTTGAATGTCAACTCTGCCACTTATAAGCTTAGGGAAGTTACACCTTATTCCTATGCCTCAGTTTCTTTATCAGGGAAATAGGAAAACAGTAACCCCAACTTGTTGGGATGTTTTATAGTTTATAGATAATATCTCATCTGTAAATTATACAGTGCCTGCCCCCAAGACAGTTACTATAACTCTTTGAGCTATTTATTCTGGTATTTGCCTCCATATTTCTAAATAACGGGCAAATATTACTGTCTCTTAACTATCAAGTTTATCTCTGGAATTCCTCAAATATAATGATTTTGGTTCTCTTACAACTCCTCTTTTCTTTCTTTGACCTTTTCAGTATAATAATATCATGATTTGGGGTCAAATCAACATCTAGGATTTTTATTATTTTTAGTATTTAGATATTATTCACAGTTGAACCAAATATTTATTATGTGATGATTACATTTCCTTGTGGTATCCTTTTGCTTGATTTTAAAGTACCCATCACTATTTATAAGATACTCTATATCCATTTTGTAATACAATGGAAAGAAGAGATTGCCTATTGGCTTTAACCTTGCAGCAAATTATGTCTGTGTGACTCAAGTCTTGAGCAAAAGTAATATATGCAACTTTTGGGCGGTCCCCTTAAAAAGAAATAGTATGCCTCTTTATTTTTGCTTAGCTGGAATGTGGTTAGTGTCATGGTGAGCCATCTTGGATCATGTGGTCCAGGTTAAACCCTAGGTCTTGTGAAATTATAAGAAAGGAGTGGCTCTGGTTCCTGAAATTATGAAGCTGATACTGGACAACATACCAAGACTGTTATTTGAGTAATAGATTAACTTAAGCCTTAGGTATTTGAAACTAGATCTGCTCCCTATCCCAACCTTCCTACCCTCGCTGATGCAGGAGCTATAACCTTCCTTTATGACCCCTTTCCTTGGCTATAGTCAGTTAATACAAGGTGGACCATTGACTTAAGATGGGCCAATCAGAATCATTACTCAGAATTCACTGTGCTGTCATTGAGAGGAAGGTGATGATAGTCTTCTCAACAAGTGAAAGACAGGATGAAGTCAACACACTTCGAAGAATAGAGACTCAAGTCAGAATAATAAGAGTCAGAGAAAGCGAGAGACAGCCTTTAGGGCACTTAGTTCCCTGGTTATTGCTGTCCCTCAGTATCAGCCAAATTTCTGTCTTTCTCACAGTTTGACTGCTCATCCTGCTTCTTGAATTTTATAAAGCAATAAATTCCATTTTTATCTAACCTCATTCCTATGGAGTTTCTGCCATTTGAATTTCAAAAAGTTTTAATTATTTTTAAAAGTTAATCATATGCCTACTCCAATAAAGATAGAGAAGTATCTTAAAATATTCTGGAATTACAGTTATATGTAGATTTTATATATAATAAAAATGAAATCCACAAACCAAGGAGGAAAGGAATTTTTGTTTAATAAATTAATCTTAGAAAGAATGGATAGCAACATGAAATAAAATTTAGAATGATAGTCTCACTATTAACCATAAACTCAATAATGGTCAGAACAATTAAAGCAGAAATGTTGCTTTTTAATCAGAATTTGATAAAAACCAATTCTATATCAAAGCCCGGTATTGATTCATAGAAGATAAAAGTAAAGCTTCCATGGCCTAATTGGGGCTATAGGGCTAAAACCCTGTCTACTTCTCCTGCTACCTTTCTTCTTCCTTGGCACTGTCCTTTTGCCAGCTGTCACTAAGATACCTCTAAAATACCTTAGGACTTATTAAGCATAATTCGAACAATACTGCAATTTAGTGTTTCTTTTCATTAGGAAGGGTCAATAATTTACAAATGATAAACACGAAATAAATCATTAAAAAGATTTATAACTTGGAATTAGTGTAATTTAAACCTAAACAATGAAAGGAAACAAATATAAAGCAAAAGAGAAATTTAAAAATGGGAAAACTTTTTTTATCAAACATAAAATTTATTTTTAATATATTTTAAAATTATTTTGAAAATGGAGCTACGAATGCCTAGCTTATGTTGCTATTAGTCACTTTAATGTATAGTGCATTTAAATATCTAACAAAAATGCAGAGTACATAGAGGTTACATAATAAATGTGATTTCCTTTATTTTACTTTTAAAAATATAAAATAAATGATTAATGCTTTTAAGCCCTTACTGTGACTCATTGAGTCTCTTCTCCATTTTACTCCTCAAACAGTTTTGGTTACTTTTCAGTAAAAAGTACCCATTTGGACACTAGGGAAGGAACAGTGAGGTGGAACATATGTGTTCAGACATGTGGGGACTAAAGAGAACCTTCTCTTCCATGGAGTAATAGAGAATTGGTTTGGGATAGAATATTTGCCGCTTACTAGCTTTGTGACTCAAAATTAGTCACTTTATCTTTCTGTTTTCAATTTACTCAGCTATAAAACAGAATAGAAATCACTACTACATAGGATTGTGCAGATTAGCAGAGATAACAATTTACATGCTGATTCTCTGACATTAGTGTCCCCAGATCAGACTCTCCTGTTTCAAGGCTATTCAACTGCCCCAGAGACATATTTATCCTGATGTCTCATATCACTCCATTTCACTATGTAACAAATACAACTATAAGATTCCTTCTGTGTCTGGCCCTGCTCCTGTTGTCACTATCTCAGTGATTTACAACACCATTCATTATTTTCACAGCTCAGAAAGCTTAAAGGCATCCCTAGTATTTCTTTCTCACCTAGTATAAAAATCATTTTTCAAGTTCTGTAAATTTTCTTTTCAGGATAATGTCAAGTCCTTTAGTGCTTTCTGCCTGCTTCCCTACCACTACCACTGCAATCCAAACTGCCTTCATCTCTCCCCTGGACACTTATGATAGTGTTTTCATTCGCTTCCTAAATATTTTTTCCAGTTTCTACAAAACTTTCTACATGCTGCAGGAACAGTAATCTTTCGAAAACTAATTTGACCACGATCTGTTTAAAATTTATTAAGGCTTCCGTTATTCTAACAATATGGCCAAAATCCATAATCAAGAGCCCTTTATCAAATAATTCTTCCTGTCATACTGATATCCTCTGAAATGTCTCTTCATTGACCCCAAGACATGGGCACATCTCTAAATGAGTTATTAGATAAGTAGTTGTTTAAGCTCTTTCTCTTCCACTAGGATGTAAGCTCTGTAAGGAAGAGGCTTTGTTATTTGACACTGTATGCATAGTATCTAAGACAATGCCTTGTTCAAGGTAGTTATTAAACATATGTATGTAGAAAGAATAAGTAAATCAATAAAACCACCTAGAAACAAACTAATGTGATAGAAGACTTGACACATGTAAGAATACATATAAAAAAATCACCTGGGTATTAAGAGGGATGACATTTTTCTAGCAAGCTTTACTTATATTGGTTAAAAGACACCACTCTTTTTGATAAATATCACACTCAAATTAATTCATTGATTTCGCTCTATACCAGATACCAGTTGACAGTTAGACTGGAAAAGCTTGCAAGATATCAATTCTGATATTGTAGGGCTCACAGCCACGATGGAGAATGGAAAGATTTATCCTTACGGAAATAGCCATGTAACTCTAATAAAGGAGTGATTAAACATGACTACGTATATGTATAAGATGATATGATATCTGAGACCTTGACAGATGAATAAATAGCATCAGAGTTTAGCCAGAGAGAAGAGCATATTCAAAAACATGAGTCAGTGAAAGAGTCTGGCATGTTCTGAAATGGAAATCATAAAGTCCTAAGTGGTGAATCTTTGGAAAACCATTACCAATGTGCTGTTTTCATTGTGTACTCTGGGTACTTACGCAAGAAAGGGCAAACATGTTACTTGAGACTGCTGCTCTTTTTGAATCACAAAAAGCCCTTCCCCTTACCACACCTCCATAGTTTGTAAAATCCCCTGTTCTCGGTGATCTTAAGGTTTTCAAAGAACTAATCTTCTCCTGTCAGCCATTTTAGTAGTCCTTCCATTGGCAGTGATATTCAGATAAATCAAAATAGTTCAATCAAACTCATATCTGTTCAACTAGTGGTTCCCCCAAAGGGCAGGAAAAGGTTGACAAAATGCACATTCTCTTGTTGGCCCTAAATCATGGTTCTGTGATGCCACCTACTAGATGTTTATATTCTTTAAGCCTCTGATTTCTAATCTATGAAAAGGAAAAAGAAATAACAGCACCTACTTCATGGGGTAGTTATGAAGGTTAAAAGAAATAATGCATACAGCCACCCAGAAGAGTTCTTGGAACATAAGATACTCAATGTGTGTTGAAATGACTAAATTTAGCTCCTCTGTGTAATGTTTCGTTGCTCATACTATTCAAATAGGAGAATTTAGCATTTGATACAGACGATGTCACTTTCCACCTCTATTTTTCTTGTAATCCTTTTAGTTTAGGGTATTCCCTGCCCTTTTTATCTGCTACCTCTCTGCTCACCCTTCAAGGCCTTGTCTTCTTAGTGGAACTTTTCAGAAGTCATTGCTTTCTTCTCGGTGAAGGTTATGACTCTGTTACTACACTTAACACAACCTTATGTTTCATGCTTCCCTGCACAATTGTCTGGCTTCCACACTGAATTTAGGGCTCTTTGAGGTCTGGAACTATGTCAGTCATTATGTCACTAATGTCTAATACAAGAGGTAAGTTCATAAAGTCATTTATTTGTTCATTTTATTTATCTGTTTATGTTTTCACAAATTATCAATGAATATAATAAAACATCAGTGCTTGTTGAATACCTCTTACCCACAAGCTATATGCTGTTTTACAGCTTTTGGTTGTTGACCTTCTTTGTGTTAGAGTGGAAGTTTTGTTTGATAGAGTGAAGGGGACCTTCTGGTGTTGAAATCTTGCTCCTCCACATATCAGGGTTTAAAATTGGGAAAGTCACTTAAATTCTCTTTGTATTAGTATCCTCACCTCTTTCTAGGGATAATGATACTTACCTGTTATATGGTTGGTTAATAATGCATGTATGGAATCTGCATATAGCAACCTCTCAAGTAAGGGAAGACATTACTATTTGTTCATCATCAAGAAGTTACTGATATAGTTCTACTCAGAACGATTATTTAAAACCAAGATTTGCTTGGCCGGCGTGGCTCAGTGGTTGAGTATCAATCTATGATGCAGGAGATTGCGGTTCAATTCCCAGTTAGGGCACACACCCAGGTTATGGGTTTGATCTCCAGCAGGGGACATGCAGGAGGCAGCCGATCAATGACTCTCTTCATTGATGTTTCTATCTGTCTCTCCCTTCCCTTCCTTGCTCTGATATTAATAAAAATATATTTAAAAAATTAAAAAAAATAAAATCCAGATCTACTTAAAATTCTAGAGTTTTATATTTCTACCTAAATAGCAATTATCATTATAATAGCTTTCCTCCTTCTTCTTCTTCTTCTTCTTCTTCTTCTTCTTCTTCTTCTTCTTCTTCTTATTATTATTATTATTATTATTATTATTAGGGCCTAAAAAACAGTATGTCCAGAATTTTTCCTGGTAATCCAGCAGAAAGTTTCCAAAGATGGTTTCAGAACTGCTAGATGCAGTAGGCTCTTCAATGCATCACATTCATTTAATTATCATACTATCTCTTTGAGGTATTGTGATCCCTATATTTCAGGTTAAGAAACTGAGATTCACTGAACTGAAGTAAAATTTCCCAGGGTCACACAACAGTTAGCAGGTAGTCATATCTCAAACCTATTTCTTTCCTGATTTAAATTCTAGTCTCTCTTCATGGCTTTCATGTGTGAAATGTATACTCCACAGAATGGATATGAGTTTAAAGATCCTTGCAACTTAGTTCATGTAATAATAAATTGGTGATAAATTAAGGACTGTAATGCACTTTCCCAGTTTAAAGGATTTGGTGGTAACATTGTAAAAGCATAAGGTTTTGTATTCTCTCAAAAGAAATTGGTCACGCTTTATTTGGCAATTCATTTGGAAGAAATGAAACTTTACCTGAATTTTGTAGGTAGCTATAGTCATAGCCCAGGTCTCTGGATGAAATAAAGAAATCACCGTTTCTGTAGAGAGGTATGAAAGGAACCATGTAGGATTCCCGGTTATGTCCAATGGGTGCATTGGCTGCTGGATAAACTTCTTGAAGAGGACGGTGCCTTCGGAGCCACTGTTCAAAAATACTGCAGAGGAAAGGATTGTTCAGACTCAGAAACATACTGTTTATAAAGGAAATATTTGGGTTTCTTAAAGTAAAATAATAAGACATATCTTAAGATCCCAAGATATGGAAAGATGCCAAATGTATTTTTAATTCTTTGAAAGTATTTTGTGAAGCACCAGTTCATGCCATCAGGCCCTGATAAAACTCATTCATTTGAAAGAAATACTGGAGGAAACTGAAACAGGAATTTTTTTTAGAAGATAAATGAAACTTACATGACAAGTTCAGATCCTTCAGAATGTGGCAGAACAAGGGTAATTATTGGTTGAGTGACAATTGAGTCATAGTTATAAATTAAATGTTTCATGTGTCAAACAAAGTTAGCCCAAAGAAAGAATGTACAAAACTAAATTGAAGTTAATAATGGAATTTGGTCATTTTTTCGGTCATGGTGGGGACCTATGATTATTTCAGTGTTCTTGTTTTATTTGGTGATGTGTATGGTTAATGAATCTTGGAGGGAGAAAGAGCTCAACACCCATGAGTCTAATTTGTTTCCAAACTCCTCCTGAAGCTGGAGTGTCACTACCACATGATCAATATTCTGCCAATCAGACGTACCCATCCAAGACTTTGAAACAGCACATACTGACACAAAGAGGCAAGGACAATTGAAAAGTAGTCTAGTCATGGGCGATGGCAGTTGCAATATCAACATCCAGTTTTTAGAGGCAGCAAGGCCAGAAGTACCAGAAAAGGTACTTACTCTTCAGGGGTCTCCTGTGTTCTGTAGCATCATTTCCGCAGATCACTTGGCTGCTGCCCTCCTCCCTTGCTCCTACCTGTTTCTGAACCTGCTTCTCCATAATTTCCTGACCTATCCAATATCCTCTCAGCAAATTCTTTTCCTTTTTAAATGAGCCAGAGTTAGTTTCTGTTGCATTCAATTAAAAACTCTGACTGGAATAATAGCTAAAATACTAAGGGATCAAAAAGGTGCAGTAAGAATGAAGTAGAAACTGAAGCTATAGCAGAATTTATAGTGTGTCATTAATAGTGTGATAGAGAAAATGACTTTGGATTATCAGGCTATATGACATGGAGGGAAGAACACTAGATCCGGAGGCAGAGAACTACTGGGAGGCCTAGCTCTGTGGTTTAGGAGCTGTATGACTTTAAGCAAATCACTGAAACTCTTGGAGGCTTAGCCTTCTCAGCCTTAAAATGGAAGTAACAATATTTGTCCTGTTTCCAAAGTGATTATTCAATGTGATAGGTTTTATGAACGTGAAAAATAAGTCAACCGTTTTTATTTAGTTTAAAATTTAAACTAGGAGGCAAAAGGCTACTGCATGGTCAAGAGGGTGGAGTCTTTTAAAAAGGTCATAATGCTTCAAACAAATAAAATAAAAAAACCCCCCACACTTTGGACATTTTGAAGGGCAATAAAGAAGAGAACAAGGAAGCCAGACAGCAGAAGTCATGATCGTTTTTCTGTGATGGAAAATAATTCTATTTGCTTAGGGAACCTGGACTTCAAATTCTAGCTTTGGTCAAAGTTGATTTTTAATCGTGAACTAACTGCGGGATCCGCAGGCCATAGGTAAACACTGAAAATACCAATTGCTCCCTAAATTGCTCAGTTATTAAATATGTTGACTGAGTTTCTACTATATGTCAAGTTTTGGAGAAACATGAAACTGTAAAAACCTGAGTTCTGTTGGCTGTGACAAGGGAAATTTGTAAAATTTCTTGTTTGATTTTCTTTTTCTTCATTTGCAAAATGGGAATAATATTTATGTTGTGAAAGTATTGTGAGGATTAATGAAAATAACCTAAGATATGTGACTAAGTGCTTCACAGATGGTGAGCAGAAACTGTCTTCATCCTTGACCCCGCTTTCTCTTCTTTCTCCGTCTCATTATTAATGTTGTGCTGGGAGAACTTTCCAATCAGTGAGAGATATGAGACATGCTACAACAGAGATGCTGAAGCCATGGATATTTGAGCTGGAGGTTTAAGAAGAGTTATTATCTTGATAGGCAGAGATGCGAAAGGAGAGGATCAGGAAGATTGGTGGTTCTGTGTGGGCCTCCATTTCCTCAAGTAATTAGAAACTGGCTTAACAAATAAACCCCACATTCTATTCAGGTCCTAAAATTTTATGAATTTGTCTTTTTGTTTTACCTTCTACAGTGTTGTATTCACAATCATTACTTATTCATTATACAGGGTGGGGCAAGAGTAGGTTTGCAGTTGTGAATATGCAAAACACAGAGACTATTCTCGTATTATTTATCCATTATTGTATTATTTTTCATATGAACAACTGTAAGCTTACTTTTGTCTCACCCTGTATACAGTTCAGAAAATATAAACAAGCAAAAAAGAGAACAAAAAAAATCACATGTAATTGCTCTATATTGTTGCTATATCTTGTTTTTAAAATATGTGTGTATAACATTGTATATATATTTTAACAAAAATAATTATGTTTTATAAGTCATTTCATTTATACTAAATGATGTTTGAACAATATTTACCAGTTTTCAGTTGGTAAATCTATTTTTTAATGGGAAAGAGGCTCTCTGATAATTAATCTTTCCCCCACCCCTATTAAACTGAGTGATTTAGGAACAGCCCAATAGACAATGAGCTAATAGACAGGGGCTTGAGGCAAAAATTGTGCCTTTTGTCAATTGAGAAAAATTACTTCTGTAGTTCAATTTATAAATAATCTTGCTTCTGCCAAGAAGTAAAAATTCTTTACCGAGATAAGACAAGGACATCAATTTTTAGCACAAAAAGATTTAATGGATGAAATCATTAATGTGTTCACCCACCTTATCAACCTTTCAAAATGAAGGTATTAATCTTGATTAAATTCTTCATTGGTGGTTGTTATCAGTTAATTTCATCAAACCACGTCTAGAATGGCTCACATTGGAATACTAATATTTAACTTAGATAATCACACTGTCATTTTATGTTTGTGTCGGGGGGGAGGATATCCTCTTACCCAAGATTCATTTAAACTGTGGAGACCTCATTTAGTCTCCAGCCTCCAGTCTTTGATGGTATATTTAACCCAGTGTTGAAAAAATGAGTATTTAGAGAAATAGTAGAGGTGTTCCTGAAGACTACAATATAAATTTCAGAGGGTTTTTGATGAAAGGTACATAATAAGTTCAAGGAACTAAAAAAAAAATAAATAAATAAAAAATGACCAGTATGTCTGTGGAGAATAGAAAAATGGGACCCACATCATGCAGGGTAGAGGAGGCCTATTGCTCTTTCCTAAGAGCAATAGGAAGCCACTGTTTGTATCTGGGGAGGTGGGCATTATCATGAACAGAGCATCATTTTTAAAGGATTACACAGATTGCATTGTGGAGAAGGGGCTGATGGGTAGTAAGAGTTGATGTGTAGGGATCAAGGGATGGGGAAATCAGTGAGGAAACTATGTTTAGGCAAAAAGGTGATGTCTGACTATCCATGCAGTATAGCTGAGGTGGAGATGTCACAGAAGACTCTATGTGTTCTGGCTTATGCTGTGAGAGAAGATATTTTTATTCCCAATGATATCGGTCACTGGAGAGAAGTGTAGCACGAGGAAGGGATATAATATCCCGAGTTTTGATGTCCTGTGTTGAAGATGCTCTTGAAACATTCCAGTGGGGATGTCAGGTAGGCAGCTGGATATTTGGGTCTGGATTTCAGAGCAAGACTTACTCTGGAAATATAAATGGGCACACTATCAGCCTGTAGTAAATAAGTGAAGCTCTGAGAGAAGGGAGACAATAAAAAGATAAGAGAATCTGGGGTTATTTTTCTCAGATGTCATCTTTCTGAAAAGTCAGGACAGATGAAGTGCTAATCACTTTGTCTTTGAAAACCGCAGCTTGGAATGCCTCCAGCTATCCAGTCAAAATTCTAGTCACTCAAAATGTATTGAGTGGATTCCTGTCTTTTCACTTTTTTTGCATTTTTTTGTTCTATCTATGTAGCCCTGGTTTTGAAATATTTACCTGTTGAAACAAACCTTAATTATTATATGACAATAAATATCTTCATTTAAACTTAGAGAAATCTACTCATGTTTAGAATGGGGATGGAACTATCTACTTTAAGATGGTTATGAGAACAAAAATGAAATAAAATGAAAAGTAGAATAATAATACTTGAAGATAAAATGAAAGAATATTTATAAAGTGCTTGGCCTAGTTCCTGAAAAGTAATAATTTATATTTTCTTTTCTTACAAACCTCTCATTTTATAGAGTAAATAATTCTAATCTAAACATCACAGCTAGTTAGTAGCACAACCAAGAATGGAAGTGAGTGGTCTGCTGCTAATTATAGTATATGCCCTTGCATGTACTATATTAGGGCAGTGGGAGTGTTTCTGCAGTTGTGAAAATGCATGTGCTTCTACCAAGGACCAGTGTGCAGGTCATCTCTCTCTAAGGCACCTTTGGAAGGGGCTCTGCTTGACCTTCATCTTGAAATGTAAGCTGTTTGATAGATGCCTGCCTTAATTACATAGAAATTACCTGAGTGTGCCTTTGCTCTAAGGCCTCACAGGTCTCACAGTGTATACTCAAGGAAGATAAATGAACACAATACAAAAAGATCAGGAAAGGGTGTCTACTAGCATAGCAAATACAGTGGAATCATTTTTTTAAGAAAGCTGAAAAAGAGGAGCAGAGAAAGAGGAGATAGCTTCTCAGTGGGTGGAGAGTGGGTGGTGTATTAATCAGGATTTTCCAGAACAACAAAGCCAACAGTATGTGTGTGTATGCATGTGTACATAAAGAGAAAAAGAGAGAGAGACACACACATAGAGAGAGAAACAGAATAATGTTTGACCAAGTGGCTGGGTACCACAGCCTAGACAAGTTGACACATAATACTAACCAACACAGGTACTGTTGGGTAAGGTGCCTCATCTTAGACAACACTTGAACCCTAATCTTGAAAACTGTGTAACAGAAGTCTGGGTAAAGTAACAGAAGGGAAA